CACCTCCAGGTATGGCCCAAAGTCTGTGTCTCACTTTCCTGTGCATTCAGACGCTCTCACTGAGCCCAAGTGGTGACAGAACCATTCTAGTATTCCTGCTCGAGCATTCCTGTTTGTTTTCCTCTCAGGAGCTTGTTCTCATTTCTTTTCCCTTTCATTCGTGTCTTGCCCACTTCCATATCCTTTCTGGCTGGAGCAATTAATTCCATCGCACACCTGCAAGTAAAACCCAGGCTTGCATTGGGTCCAAGTGACAGGGCCCCAGTGTCCACGTGTGCACAGCGCCTGGGGAAGCACAGAGGGTCCGGAGGGCTAGGAAAGATGCTGGCCTTGCAGGCGGCCGACCCAAGTTGGATCCCCGGCATTCCATATGCTCCCCCTGAGCACCGCCAAGTTGTGATTCCTGAGTGCAGAGCCAGGAGTAAGCCCTGAGCAACGTGGGGTGTGTGACCCCAAATCAACAACTCTTTTTACTAGGGGGTAACGAGGTGTCACTGGCCACCCAGCAGTGTCAGGAGTGATGCTGGCGGTGCTCAGGGGACCATATGTGATGATGGGTTTGAATCAGGGTCGGCCAGATGCCAGGCGAGTGCCTTCTCCCCTCTGCTCTCTTCATCACTGCCCTTCCATTTCTCAAAGTAGTTACTTCTTTCTTTTTCTCCCCCCACTCTTTGATTTTTGGCCACATCTGACTGTGCTCGGGGCTTACTCCTGGCTCCGTGCTCTGGGATCGCTCCCAGTGGGGCTGAGGGGGTCCTATGGGGTGCTAGGGGTTAACAAGTGCATGCAAGGCCATCACCCACCTGCTGGACTGTTGCTCCAGCTCCCGGGCAGTCAACTTTCGGCTCCTTCACCCCCGTGTTCTCAGCCTCTTCACAGTTGTGGACCAGCAGGTTGGAATGATTTCGTCTTCTGTTTTGCTTTCCTTCCTCTTTTAATGATTTCAAAGTGTTTATTTTCTTTTTTTGTGGGGGGTGGTTGGGGGGTATACCCAGCGATGCTCAGGGGTTACTCCTGGCTCTGCACTCAGGAATTATTCCCAGCAGTGCATGGCGGACCAACCAAATGGGGTGTTGGGGATTGAACTTGGGTCAGTAGCATATGCCTTATCGACTGTACTATTGCTCTGGCTCCTGTGTTATTATTATTTTTCCTTTCAAAATAAAAGGGAGACCCCGGAGACAGTGCCATGGTTGAAGCACTTGCTTAGAATGTGGTGATGGCCACAGCCCTAGGTTCAAATCCCTGTACCACATGGGGGCCTCTGAGTCCCGCCAGGAGTGATCCCTGACAGAGAGTCAGGTGTGGTCTGAACACTGTTGGGTGTGATGCCCCCTCCAAAAAGATGGGACTGGAAAGGTAGATCAACCAGTTGAACACATGCTTCTAAAAAATGTGGGAGTCCGGGGTTCAAGCCCCAGCACTGCTTGGCCCTCCAAGCATTGCCAGGAGCAACCCTGGGACAGAGCCAGAAGGGACTAGAGGCACCCCCCCCCACCCCGCACAAGGGTGGGCAGGGGGCTGGCTCCTGTCACTGCCTTAGCATTGCCCGTGGTCCAGGATCATGATTTTTGTTGAGTCCACTAATGTGATGGATTGGCAACGCTGACAGACAGGAAACATCTTTCCTGGAGATTGTTCCTGGGGTTTACTGGTTACTGAGCTTTAGCTGGTTACTGAGTCACACGCAGTCTGAACCCCAGAGACCCTCACACCCTTGGCAGACGTGGCTCCCATGTCTGTTCCTGGTGTGCAGCCACCATGCCAGGAAAGTGCTCGCTTCTTCCCATTCTGATGAGTCTCACCGATTTGGCACGCCTAAGACATCGCCAAGGTCCAGCCTTCAGATAAAGCACACAGATTTTAGTTTCTAAAACACAGGAGAGCAGCAAGAATCAAGAGCGCATTTCTGCTCAGGGCTGACTCCTGGCTCTGTGCTCAGGGATCATGCCTGGAGGTACTCAGGGAACTGTGTGGTATACTAGAGCTCAAACCTGGTTGGCCTCGTGCAAGGAAACACCCTCCCCACCGTAGGATGACTCTTGCCCCTTGGTCAGGCTTTCCAGTGGGGGGCTCTTATCTTTGCATCACCATGAGCCCCAGCCCCCTGGCAGTGCTAGTTAGTGTTGGTTGCAGAGATCACAACTCGAGTAGATACCAGTAATGTCTCCATTCGTCCCAGCCCTGAGATGTTAGCTGCCTCTTCTTACTCGTCTTTCCCAACGCAGCTGCCATATTGGAGGCTCTTTGAGGGTCAGGGGAATGAGACCCGTTAATGTTACTGTTTTTGGCATATAGACTATGCCATGGGTAGCTTGCAGGCTCTGCTGTGCTGTGCGGGCGAGATACTCTCAGTAGCTTGCTGGGCATATATATATATATATATATATATATATATATATATATAATGTGTCACTTTCCTCCCGTTGTTCATCGATTTTCTTGAGTGGGCCCAGTAACGCCTCCATTGTGAGACTTTGTTGTTACTGTGTTTGGCATATCAAATACATCACGGGGAGCTTGCCAGGCTTTGCCGTGTGGGCGAGATACTCTCAGTAGCTTGCCTGGCTCTCCGAGAGGGGCGGAGGAATCGAACTCGGGTTGGCCATGTTGGCTGTGTGCAAGGCAAACGCCCTACCCGCTGTGCTGTTGCTCCAGTCCATATGTATATATATATTTCCCTCTATGACTTGTTGTCTACTGAACTCCATCAAATATGGTGTGGTAATTTTGGAAAATGGGTAGGGAGTGTGTTATGATGTGTCGCGGCCGCGCGGTTCAGGAATATGTTCACTCATATGTGAGGCTCGGCCGGAGCGTGTGGAAAGCGGCCTGCAGCGAGGCAGTGGTTGGGTAGTAGAGGTCGGCTGCCGGGGCTGGGTCCCTGGGGTTGCAGAGATAACGCACATTTTCCAAGAAAAGTCTCTTTCTCAGGAAGGGCAGCTCGGATTTGCTTTGGTTTGCGTTTTGGGGTTACATCAGGGCTGTTCTGGGGCGCTCCCCAGCCTGGCTGTGGCCAGGAGCCCTGCGCATTGGGGTGTGAGCTGCACCCCGAGAGCACCTCCCCAGCATCTTCCTCTGCTGATCTCGTTCTGTCGATTCCTGGGCCACACCTGGCGGTGCTCAGGGGCGACTTGGCTATTCCTGGCTTAGCGTCCGGGCCCTAGTAATGGGACCAGATGCCTGCCTCCTGCCTCCAAAGCAGGCCGCTGGGAATTGGGGTGATTACTTTACAGGGCCCGCGGGTCAGAAACCTTGTCCTGGAAAGCCAGGGTCAGGGACCCATAGCCTCGCCTCTGGGCTCTGAGTCTGGGCTCAAACCTTGTACCAACGAGGGTTTTGGTCAAAGTTCAGGGCACAGTCCACAGTGGGGCCTGGCTGGCACCGGTGTCTGGTGCCGTGACCCTGGAGACGAGTGTCACTGTCATGTTTTCTTAAAGCTCTGAGCGGACGAAGTGCTTGCAGGTCCAGTTTCAAACTCCAGGCCTTCTTGGAGTTGGGGTGGGTGGTGAACCCTTCCCTCCCCCCACGACCCCCGGGTACATCACACCCACATCCCACCATGAACCATCCAAGCTCATCTACTGGCCTTGTTCCAGAGACTCATAAATAAACCTCGAAAGAGATAAACTAGCTGCAAACATCTCTCGACACCCTTCCTGGCTGAACCCTCGAGGCCATCTTGGAGGCGGAGAGGGCCAGCTCCAACCCTCACAGAGTCCCAGCAGCCGTGCCTACATCCCAAAGCTGTCACCCCATCACAAAAAAAAAAAAAATCACAAATCATCCTGTTAATCGTCGATTGCCTCGAGCAGGCCCCAGTAACCTCTCCTTCATCCTAGCCCTGAGATTATATTCAAGGCTCTTTAGGAGAACGAGACCCATCATTGTTACTGGTATTTGGCATATTGGGTACGCTGCGGGGAGTTTGCCAGACTCTGCCGTGTGGGCAGGCTACATTCGGTAACCTGCCAGTTTGTCCAAAGTAGGAATGAGATGTCACCCCATGGTGACATCCAAACCTTTAGCTGGGCTGCTTAGTTACATATTCAGGATTTTCTGGGCCATCTCCAAACTCTACAGCACTGACTGACATCCCAAGAGGAACTCACCAGATGAGATGGGATGTCACGCAGAAGCCAACCAATCTCAACTAACAAAAACATTAGCGCAGAAGGCTTAAGTTGCAACGCCGCTGAGTAATCCCTCAGACAAGGACTTAACGTCCCCGTGGTGAGATACAACAAGGTTCACAAATTTTCTTCTACAGAAATAGTTTTGATCATTTCGTTAGCCACTTAGTGGTAGCAAGCCATATAAAATGAATTGACGTGGGCCTGCTTCAGGGGCAGGTTGGAGGGTGGTTGGGAAAAGGAGACAGTGGTGGAGAGAAGGTGACGGTGGGGGGTGGGTTCGGGGCTGGATACTGAATGCCTGTAACACATTATCAGGAACAACTTTGTAAACCACGGTGTTTATATGACGTGTGTGTGTGGGAGGGGGGGAGGGAAGGCCCAGTGTCAGGGCCAGAAAGATAGTACAGCTGGCATGGCTGATCTGGGTTCGGTCCCCAGCACCCCACATGGTCCCCGAGACTTGCCAGGAGGGATCCCTGAGTGCAGAGTCAGGAGTCAGCCCTGAGCATCGCCGGGTATGAATCCCCGCCCCCCCCCCCCGAAAAAAAAAGAAACAACCAAAAACACCCAAACATTGACAGATGTGGACCTGACAAGAAAGTAGCTCAAGGGTCTTGTGAGGCGCTCAGATTGTTTTTGGAGCCTTTTCACACCAAGGCAGGTTTCTCTGAGCCAGGGATCGATCCTGAGCCTGCTCTCTCTCTCTCTCTCTCTCTCTCTCTCTCTCTCTCTCTCTCACACACACACACACACACACACACACCCCTTTGCCGATTATTAAAAGCACATTTTCAAAGACAGCTTCAGGCTCTTCCGATGGTTTTATTCACAATCAGACACAGCCCTACACACCGTCAGGTTTTGCTCCACAGGTTTCCAAGGGTGCCCTTCCTCCTGCAGACTCAGCACCCTCCCTCAGCACCCACCCCAGCCCAGTGTGACAATGGATGGCAAGTGGCTGATTGTCTTTTCCCACACTGAGGAGCAATCCTCTGGGACAGTCTCAGAGAGGGGGTGGGCTCACTCCCGCCCCGACGCTGCCCCAATAACCTGCACTTTGCTTGACATTGAGAACTGTGATGAATTCATTTCTAAAAGTGTCTCTTGCAGGCATCTTATTCATTACGTTCACAGTGGGACAAACATGTCAGCTTATTGTCTAGGCTGCAAAAATGAAAGTGTAAAAGCAAAATATAGATTTTGCAGTACTTTAAACAAAAAAAAATACAAGTTCTAAAGCTAAAATTGTCAAGTGGAATACGATGTTTGCCCTCTTCCCTGTGGTTTAAAGGCCCAACATGTCATCAGCCTTGCAGCTTCCTGTGTAAGGGAAAGGGACTTCTGGGGGCCAGAATGATATAGAGCACGCAGCTGACCTGCGTTTGATCCCAGGCTCCCCACAGGGTCCCCTGAGCCCATCAAGAGTAATTCCTGAGTGCAGAGCCAGGAGTAACCAACCCCTGAGCACCGCTGCCTGTGGGCACCGAACAACAGAAAAGGGGTCGGGGCCGAGATTTGTAGAGAAACACAGCCTTTTTTTTTCACCTGAGTAATATATAGAAGCGAGACTTTGGGGACAAACACTAGTTTTGATGATCTCTGTCGAGGAAGAACATTGTTCTTGAAAGCACTGGAAGAACATTGTTCTTGAAAGCATTGTTCTTCACAGGGGCCATAGGACAGCGGTGCCCTGTCCAACAAGGGGGGCGGAGGGGGCGTTTCCCCAACACACCCTGAAGGTGTTAAACCCGGGAGATCCCTCTCCGGGAGGCCCCCATCTGCCTCCATTCGCCCAAAAATGAGCGCCAGGAAGAAAGCAGAGAACTGCATTTGGATTGTGCGCTGAGGGGTCTCCCTGAGGCTGGGGATGTGAATCGCTGCTGCGGCCGGTTGGCTCAGGCTGGGCTTTCGGGTGTGGAGCCAGGCAGCAAACCCAAGCCCCCCGACAGGTGAGGCGGGGCGGGGTGGGGGTCTCTGCCTCTGGGCTCTCGCCCTCAGCAGCACTGCAGAGGAGGAGAAGGGGCCTGGTGACGTGGGCAAAGACTTGGCGGCGGGGATGGGCATGTGTGTGACGGTTTCCGTAGCTGATTGTGCATGTGGGTGCGTGGACACATGGGCGTGGGGGCCGCGGGCAGGCGCGGGGTGTCCAGCGGGCGCAGCTACACGTCGAACCAGTGGTCCCCCATGCAGACGCGGTTCCACTCGCAGCCGCAGTTCCAACACCACTCGAGCTGGCACTGGGGCTGAGGGCACTTCATGTGCATGCACCCTCCTGTGGGCAGAGAGAGGGCACCGGGGGTCAGCAGGGGCGCAAACCCGAGCCCCCCAGGGCGGCCGCGCGGCGGCCACGTGCCTGCACCTCGCGCGCCACCCTGGGCCGTTACAGACCGGAAGTTGCCCTCGTTGCGCGCAGAGCATTGTGGGTCTTGTAGTTCCCGGTCACACTCCCCTTCCCCCCACTTCCTTAACCAGGGTTCTGACTGGTGCCTCGCCCAGAGACTGGCTTGGTGGTATGCAGAGAGGCGGAGAGAGGCGAGAGCGAAAGCAAAGTTTAGATTTTGCAGTATTTTCAGAAAACAAAACAAAAAAACCACCACCCAACAACAAGACAATTTCTTTCTTTCTTTCTTTCTTTTTTTTTTTTTTTTTGCTTTTTGGGTCACACCCGGTGATGCACAGGGGTTACTCCTGGCTCTTCACTCAGGAGTTACTCCTGGCGGTGCTCAGGGGACCATATGGGATGCTGGGAATCGAACCCGGGTCGGCCGTGTGCAAGGCAAACGCCCTACCCACTGTGCTATCTCTCCAGCCCCGACAATTTCTTTCTAAACACGCAAATAGTCGTAAAGAAGCAAACGATGGAATAAAGTTCAAGTGTTTGCCCTCCTGCCTGTGATTTAAACATCCAACATGCCGATGGCCTTGCAGCTTCCCTATGGAAGGGACAGGGATTTTTATGCACAGCTTTTTTTTCCCCCCTTCCATACAACACACGAAGACAAAATTAATTCTTCTGTGTTTGCTTCAATACTTCTATTTCTTTGTCAGTTCTTTGTTTAAAGACATATATTATTCTGAAGAACTAAAACACTTTTTTTTGGGGGGGGGGGAGGTTGTCATGTCTTACAGTACTCAGAGGCTGCTCCTGTCCTGTGCTCTGGGGCTGGCTCCCAGTGGTGCCAGGGGACAATACGGTTTTGGGAGCAGAACCATGGGGCGCCTGGACCTGGTGCGTTGAGTGTCTCTCTAGCCTTCCATGGAGTAGTTTAAAGGTATCTAATGTTGGGGCTGGAGTGATAGCACAGCAGGTAGGGCGTTTGCCTTGCACGTGGCCGACCAGGTTTCGATTCCCAGCATCCCATATGGTCCCCTGAGCACCGCCAGGGGTAATTCCTGAGCGCAGAGCCAGGAGTAACCCCTGTGCATTGCTGGGTGTGACCCCCCAAAGAAAGCAAAAAGAAAAAGGTATCTAATGTTGCTCAACAGTTAGTTATGCACTATGAAATAATGTCATATAAATGCCATTTGTTTGGGGTCCTGGAGTTGGTCGTAGCTCACGAGCCAGGAGTTGGGGGCCTGGTGGCCAGAGAGGAAACTGGGACTGAGGACAGGAGTCTCAGGGCTGGGGGCATGTGGGGTGCCCTGTGCCTAGAGCCCTCCCCATTACCCCGACCCTGGAAATGTGGCCAGTGACCCCCTTCCTGACTTCTCAGGGTCCAGCCCTCTGAGAGAGGAAGTCTCGAGACTGCACTCTGGGTTTGGGGTCACACAGAGAGGTAAGACCCTCTGGGGTTGCTAAAGACATCCCCTATGTGCTTCTGCATGGAGTGAAAGGGCTGTGCTTGAAGTCTGAGGAAGAGAGCTGCTTCTAGCCGGGTGCCTCAGGGAAGTCGGGCCCAGACGGTCCTCTGCTGGTAAGCGCAGGATACTGAATGTTTACTGTGATCTGCCTTTCCTGATGGGCTTAAGTCCTTTTTTTCTGGCTCCAAATTCCAGGTCACTGTTTTACTACCATCTCATTGTTATCATGAGAAAGCTGCTGTGAAAACATCTACTGAGTTCAAATATTTATGATTATGTAATCAAGGGCATTTGGTTTTAAGGCAATTTAGGGACTTTCAACCCCCCCCCCCCCCCCACACACACACACAGAGTTTTCTGTTGTTTCTTGGCTTCCTTTAAAGATCACGGAAGCAATACAATTACACAGAGATTAAAATGAATAAAGTGGGAAAGAAAACCTCACAATCCTTGCTTAATATTTCTCAGTTTAGATCCATGATTTTCAACAAATACCAAATGAGTATACGCTTAGGATGTTAATGACATAATAAATAATATAATGCCATGTGATCACTATGGTTTCTGAAGAATATTAAAACTGCTGCCCGAGGACCACATTTAGGTTAATGAGATACAATGAGGTGCTCAATGGGGGTGGAGGGCATTCTCTTGTTCCTCTGTAACCCTCCCAAATACACGACACTTGCACTGCACACAGTATTTGATCACGGACAGGGGCTGCCAAGGATTTACTGCTGCAGGAGGTAAGAAGGAAGGGAAGAACAGAGATCCCAGGGGCTCCTTTCCTTCTTGGGCTCATCCCCGGGGCACGGGGGAAGTCAGGGATGCTACTTCTGGAAGCTTCCCTATCGGAAAGCCCCAGAGAGGCCCGATGCATGCTAGCAGGACCAGTCTGCCAAGCTGGTTTTAGCAGAGACAGCCCTGAACAAGCTGCAGGCAGCCTGGGCCCTCACACAGGGAGACGGCAGGAATGGGGTGAGTGAGGGAAGAAGGTTCCAGAGAGCAAAGAGGATGACAGCAGGAAGCACCTGGTTCCAGCCTGGGTGTAAAGTGGAGAGGATTCAGATGGTGCCCGGGTTTGGGGGGAGGGAGATCTGCCTCCCTGGGGTCCGGCGGGAACGGCAGAGCAGCGGCCCGCAGAATGCTGTCTGCCAAGCCCAGCTGCTGGTGGGGCCCGGGTTCACAGACTCAGAGCCCTGTAGACCCACGCCACCGGGTTCGAGCGGCAGCTATGCTCTTCTCAGGCTTCTGGGCCAGACCTGCCTCAGTTTCCGTGTAGCGCAGGGGAGTCCGGCCAAGGTCAGCTGTGTGCAAGGCCAGTGCCTCAGACCCTACGCTCTCCCTAGCCCGTGATCTGCTCTGGAAGAAGTTGAGAAGTGGGTCCGAGGCGGCAGCTCACTGCTCCAATGTCACCGGCATGTCTACAGAGGGACATCTGGTTCACCTGTCTGTCCCCTGGTGACTCACTGGCAGGACCAGAAAGTCTCCGCGTCCATTCAGGACCCCCTTGATGGGGTCCCCACCGTGCCGCTCTAGGGGCTAGGACTCAGTGGGCATTTCCCCTTCTCGCTGGAGCCCCCTGGCTCGGACCTGGATGCCTGGCTTGAGCTGAGGCTCCCTGTGGCCCCCCCGTGTGCGTTGCTGAGCTTCTGCAGGGCAGGCAGCTGAGGGCTTGCGGGAACCGGGAGGGCATGGGGCAGCTGAGGCTGACGGCCGGAGTGGCAAAGCGTGCGGCTCTTCTCTTTCCCTGCCATGTTGCTCTCCCCACTGCCCAGGAACCCAGGGTTCACGGCTTCAGGCTGCCCAGGATGGACACAGGCCAGCAGCTGCCCCTCTCAAGGCCTGGGCGGACACTTGGCGCTGACTTAGCCGGGGCAAAGCAATATGCAGAGGCGCGGGGTTGCGCGCTGAGGGGCAGAGAGAGCAGGGGGTGGGAGCTGGCACCTGAAGAATGCACCGGGCAGCTGCTGTCCCCGTGCCAGCATGAGCAGGGGCCGAGGTGGGGGGGTGTCATGGGGACCCCGGTGAGGAAAGCAGCAGGTGGGGGAGGTGGAAGTGCCCTTCCCAGGCGAGACCCATGTTCTGGGTAGGTGAGCTGACTCGGGGGGGGGGGGGGCAGGGGCTCCACGTGGGCACAGACACGGGCATAGACCCAGACACGGGCACAGACATAGCATGGGCACAGACTTGGGCACAGACACAGACATGGGCACAGACACAGACGTGGGCACAGACACAGACGTGGGCACAGACATGGGCACAGACATAGACTGGGAAGAGGCACAGGAATGTGCATGTGGGCATCCCCACAGGGGGGCTGCTCATTGCAGGGAAAATCCTTAGCCTCAGAGCAGTGGCTGCAGCCAGTGCAAAGCCCCTTGCAGAGACGCCGCCTGCGTGGAGGACGTTGGAGCAACGAGTAGTCAGACAACTCTAGGGACCACAGCTCCCAGGCCTGAGCCTGTGCTGGCACTCCAGCGGCACTAACAGAGGATGGGAAAGAGCACCACGGCCAAGAAAAGGCGGGCCGCTGGCGAGGCCGAAATGCACAGAGTCCTGGGGTGGCACAGTGCCTCCCCCGCTGTGGGTCAAGCGCAGAGTCCTGGGGCTGCTTCCCCGCTGTGGGCTGAGTGGGGTGAGAACAGCTCCTGCGTGCTTGGCCCGGGGTAGGGGTGGGGGTGGCAGGTGCCAGCACTGTTAGTGCCCAGCAGGCTTCGGACAAGTCAGTGTTCGTGCTGCGTCGCCTCCAGAGGGGCAGGCGTCGGCTGCCACCTGGTGGGTGTGATCCAGTGTGCGTGTATGGGCGGGGGGGGGGGGGGGACCCTCTTAGCACAAGCAAAGCGACAGTGGCCCCCAGGCTCACGAGGAGACAGAAGCAGACCGTGCGTCCGGCCAGGGTGGCCAACAGAGCAGAAATATGAAGACCAGGCACCCATGGGAGCGAGGGCTCTCCGGAGACTGGGCCCGTGTTGTGCGCCCGAGGCATGAGGCCTTCCTTAGCCGCAAGGCAGCCAAGTGCCGGGCTGAGGGTCCGACTCCAGGCCTCGGGCTGGGGAGTAGAGCCAGAAGATCCAGGAGGGATTCCCAAGTCCCACCAGGAGTGGTCCCCGAGAACCCGACCGGAAGCCGAGTCTGGACCCCAAATCACCGTGAGCAACCCCCCAGTCCTCCCCGCCTGCAGGACCCGGGTGGGCGCGCACTCACCATTCTTCTCCACGGGCACGCGGCAGCGGGGGCACGGCTTGGTGGTGTTCTTGATGGTCTCCTTGGAGGCCTTCTCCCAGCGGGCCTGCTCAGCGGCCTCCTCGTCCACTCTGTAGGCCTGGAGGGGGGTGGGGGAGACAGGCGCTGACCCCCCTGCCTCAGCAGCCGGGCTCCGGCCCCACACGCTGAGGAGAGGAACCCGCTGTCCAGTCAGGTCACGTGGGGACGCGCTCTCCTGCCCGTGGCCACGGGCGTCTCGGCCCAGAGACAAGCATCGCGTGTGGATTGACAGTGAGTTTTATGGTCGTCCCTGTTTTGTCTCGTTTTGGGGCCACACCTGACAAAGCTCAGGGCTGACTCCTGGCTCTGCACTCAGGGCTCACTCCTGGCGGTGCTTGGGGGACCACATGGGATGCCAGGGACCGAACCCGGTCAGTCATGTGCAAGGCAAACGCCCTCCCCGCTGTGCCATTGCTCTGGCCTGGGTCTTCCCTGTTTGAATACTTGTAATAAAGGACATTTTCGGGGCTAAATGTGCAGGCGGGACTGTGGGGTGCTGCCTAATCCCCTCCTTCTATGGGGCGGGGTTCGGCACCACACCTGGGGGTGCTGAGGGGCTCTCCCTGCTCAGTGCTTGGGGTTGCTCTGCGTCTGGGAACTGTGCAGTGGCAGGGATGGCACCCTGGGTCTTGCACGCACTCCAGCCCTGAGCACACGTCTCTGGCTCTAACTCCTCCACCTGTGGCCAGACTAAGCCAAAAGAAAAACCTGCTGAGGGACTGGAATGATAGCACAGCGGGGAGGGCGTTTGCCTTGCACGCGGTCGACCTGGGTTCGATTCCCAGCATCCCATATGATCCCTGAGCACCGCCAGGAGTAATTGAGTAATTCCTGAGTGCATGAATCAGGAGTAACCCCTGAGCATCTCCAAGTGTGACCCAAAAATAACAAAAAAAAAAAAGAAACAAAGAAAAGAACAACCTGACAACCTGCTGAGGATGGGGAAGCAGGTGCACCCGGGATTGGTTGAGGCCCTGGAGAGAGTGATAAGAGGCTGTAGGCGGTGACACATGCGTGACACACGGGCTCAGCTGGTTCCCTGCAGGTGAGGCCTTCAACTCCCTGCCTGGGAATCTTGTTCGCCCATAGGAAGATGGACAAAGTGGAGGCCCATCCCCCCACATCACCTGCCCGAGGAAGCACTGTGTGACCCCACGCAGCCACTAGCCGGATAAAGGTGTGTCAGCTCTAAAAGCCAGCTCAGATCCCCTTTCCCTGGCAGGATGGGGCCTCAGCCCCCGGGCATACAGGCTTCGGGACTGAGGGGGAGAGCTGGCAGGCGAACACCAGCTCTCAGACCCGCTGTGCCCACTTGCCCTGGGTTCCAGCAAACTCGCAGGCGGGCCAGGGCCAGACCCGGCACCCGCTGCAGCTGTGCCCCCTGGTGGCGGGTTGGGACAGAGCCGATGCTAATGGAGACGACCTGGTCACAGCCCTGGCACCAAGATGCCCGAGAGTTGGGGTGTCCTCACGACACCCTTCAACCACGGGGAAACACGCAGAGTTATCTGTTATTTCATTATGTACATCCTGGAAGCACTAATGGGGGCACGTGGCTGAGAACTCTCCCAGGCCCTAAAGTCCTGGGTGTTTGAGCCTCACCTGGCAGTGCTCGGGGGATGCTCCCAGCCCTGTGCTCACGGGGCCAGGTGGTGCCGAAAGACTGAACACGCCTCACACACGGCAAGTGCCCTAACCCCGGACTGTCCAGCCCCTGGACACACATTTTTGTCTTAAAGTTTTGGGGCCACTCCTGGCAATGCCTGGCGGGCCGAGGATGGAATTGGGGTCAGCCTCGTGCAAGGTAGGACCCCTCTGCTGTGCTGTCTCTCTGCCTAGTTTAGAGTCAGGATTCCTTCTTTCCCGGGGAAGCCCAGACTTTGCTGGCCATGTCCATAATGTCCCTCCTGGCCGCACCAAGATGAGTGTCCGAGGAGCAGCAGGGACGAGGAATGTGCCGGCAAGTGCCATCCATCACGGGTGTCATTTCCCTCCTCGTCAGTCTGATGCCAGAGCCCGGGTGGGTGAGTTTCTGGTCCCTGGGCAGGTGGGAGGGGCTGGGCGCTGGCCCCAGACGGAGGGTGGGGGAGCGGGAGGCTCCTGTGGCTGACCTGGTGCCCTTCCCCGGGTGCCCATCAGCGAGGCCTCATTGCCTAGGGCCACCCTCCACTGGCACTGCTGGGAGCAGATTCGAGCCGATATGCCCTAGGCTGCGCGTGGGTGGGAAGCGGCCAGCGGCCAGCAGGGCTCCCCCAAGTGGTCAGCGGGGGTTCCCGCAGCGCGCGGCTGCCTTGGGGTCCGGGCTCCTGCAGGCCGCCGGCTCCCTAAAGCCTCGAGCGCCATCTGGTGTTCTGGACGCGCGTGTCCTGCTCATCCCTGGAAACCCAAAAACCCCCGGCTCAGGCTTTCCTCGGGAGGCCCTGTCTAGGGCGGGTGCGTGCCGTGTGTAGGTATATGTGTGTATGTGTGTCTGCCTGTGTGTCTGCGGGGTGTGTGTGCCAGTGTGTGCCGTGTGTGGGCCATGTGTGGGTCATGTGTGTGCTGTGTGTGTGTGTGTGTAGGTCGTGTGTGAGGCATGTTGTTTCCTATCATGTGTGTGGTTCATACTGATATGTGGTATATGTGTGGGGCGTGTTGTGCGCTATTTCATGGACATGGCATGCTTGTGTGTGGCGACACGTGTGCACATGTGCATGGGTGTATATGTACAATGAGTATCCTGCATGCTCTGGCGTGTGGCATGTTGCATGTGGCATGTTACATGTGGCATGTTACATGTGTGTGCACAGTTCATGGTGCATGGTGTGTGTCCACGCACATCCCATGACACATGCATGCACACACATGCTGTGACACACGGACCGTGTGTATGTATATGTTATGATCAACAGGGATCACATGTGTCCTGGTACACACATATGCTATGACACATGTGTACGCATGCTCACACGCACGGTGTCTGTCGGGTGTGGGGATGCTTGTCCCCGTGTGTGGGTGGGGAGTGTCGCCTTCGAACTAGCCTGTCCCCAGCTGGGTTTGCTCGCAAGGCCTCGTCTGTTGAAGCAGTTCTTCCCCTTCTCACAGGCCGCCCTGCAACGAAGCCTTTCTGGTACCTGCTGGCAGTTTGTCGATTCCTCTGGGAAATAGTCTGTTTAGCTTTTCCCCCCAGATTTTTTGGGGTTGGGGGACAAACCTGGAATTGTTTAATGCCTTTCCCACTCTCTCTCTCTCTCTCCAGCGCCTCTTCTGCCTTCTCTCTTTTTTAAAATTACGTCGCCTATTTTTACTTTTTGCTACGAGTTGCACGAGCTCGTCGTGTATCTTGGGTATCAAGTGCTTGTTGGGATGTGGCTGGTTGTCGCCCAGGTCCCCTTTTCATTTCGCTCATGCTTTGTTTGCGGTGCAGAAGCTATTTAGTGGGATGTTTATTTTTCTTCTTGGTCTTAAGTTCAAGTCTGCAGGCGATTCCGGTTGGCTTTGTGTATGAAGCGATGTAGTGACCCCGTTCTCTTCTTTTACAAAGTCGTGCAATTTTCTAACAATTTTCTAACTGTCATTCTTCACAGAAATTGTCCAACCCTCCCTTCCCCCCCATTGTGGTGTTCTTGGTCCCGGCAGCATAAATTATTTGACCAGTCGTATTTGTGTGTATTTCTGGGTCCTCAATTCAATTCCGTTGACTTATGCATCCAGTTTACACCAATATCACTTTGCATTTATGTCTTATTTTGTGCCACACCCAGCGATGCTCAGGGGTTACTCCTGGCTCTGCACCTAGGAATTCCTCCTGGTGGGGTGTGGGGGACAATATTGGATGCCGGAGATTGAACCCAGGTCAGCTGTGTGCAAGGTGGGCGCCCTGCCCACTGTACCATCTATTATCTTATTCTGGGGGGGATGAGTATTTGGGGGCCACACCTGGCTGTGCTCAGGAGAGACCCCGGCCATGTTTGAGAAGCTGTTGGTGGTGCTGGGTATTTGAACCAGCTTCGCAGCTGAGGCAATGAGGGCCTGTCCTGGGTCAGCTGAGCCCCATTCTCTGTCTGAAGGGCGGCTGGCAGTTAGGAGTGCCCAGAGTCGCTGAGTCAGCACTCTGAGTCGGGATGCTTCAGCAGGCTTGCGGCCTCCAGGGCGCACAGGGATGGATGTCCGTTCTCCATCAGCTTTTCGTTCCCTGGTTCATGCTGCTGTTACACAGGGAGATCCCTGGGGCTGGAGAGAGGACAGGGAGTCCAGCCTTGGCCTTGCTGTGACCTCCCCGTTCAAATCCCCGACACTGTAGGGTCCCCAGAGCACCACCAGGAGTGATCCCTGAGCACAGAGCCTAGAGTACCTCTGGGTTTGGCCCCAAAGCAAACCAGACCAAAGCCAAAACCAAATAAAAAAAGGGAGATCCCTGTGCCTGAAAGTCCGTCTCTGTGCGCCACGCAGAGAGAGCTTCTGCTGAGAGACAAGTCTCTGTAAAGGCACTTTTAGTTTTGCTTCGTTTTCCTGCTGAGCTCTGGGGGGACCATATATGGTGCCGGGAATTGAACCTGGGTCAGCTGCATACAAGGCAAGAAACCTACCTGAGCAAGGGCAATTTTCATTAAAAACAAACCAATAAAAACACCGAAACAAGATGAGAGAAGTGGGCGAGAGTGTTGATCTCTGATTTAAAGGATGCCCCTTTGAGGCAGCCTGAGTGCCCCCTGGACCTCCATGTCCATCCTTCCCGGGAGAGTGGCCGGGCAGAGCCTGCAACCCACTGGGCACCAGGAGCCCATGGGCCTGCCCTGAGGGGCTCCGGAAGTACAGCGAGGTGGGTATGGGCCACCCTGAGCCACCCCAGGCCAGCAGGCTAGTCCCCTCCTCTGGCCTGTGTGGCTGGACTGTCCCCGTGCCCAGCGGGCTGCCTGCAGGGAGGGGCAATACCTGAGCAGCCGCCTCTGCGGCCTCGTACACGGCGCTGCAGTCTCCCTCGTGGGCGGCCTCCTTGCAGTCCCGGCAGAAGACGAGCTGTGAGGGGACACGGCTGGGTGAGTGGCGTGTCCCTGGAGTGTGTCCCCGACGCGTCCCTCCCGCTTGGGCAAGCCTCACTCTCATGGGATCTTCCCAGCACTACTGCACTGATGCCCGGCCTCCAGACCCCAGCCCTGCACCCTGCTTCTGTCCGTCCAGTAGAGGCGGACAGCGCGTGTTGGAAGGGTCGGGGCAGGGGACCCTTTTGCTTGGGAACGTGGCCTCTGTGTGTCGGTGGGATGGGGGTCCCCTACGCGTCCTCATGTTCACGTCTGGAGCCCGAGGAGAAATGGGCGTGCAGCGAGGATGTGCAGGCATGGGCTGGCACCTGCAGGAGAGGACCCCGGGCAGCATGGAGCCAAATCTGCCAGCGGCCACCACCAGGCTGGGATGGGGCCCGAGGCAGCAAACAGACCACGGGCCTGCCCTGCCCAGCACACACCTTCCCGCCGCCACATGTCACGGACATAAGAGCTGGGGGCGTCCCCTGCAGGGCAGGCTGAGGCCACGGGGTCCCACACTGCAAGGGTCCCCCAAGACGCACACACGACAGGTGGAGAGACAGGGGGACGAGGCAGGCCCCAGACCCAGCTACGTCCAGGCATCGAGTCAGCGGGTGTGACCCCCACATAAAATGGAAACCCACTGAACAGCCCGGGCGTCACGTGTGTTAACTGGCGGCTGCGCTGTTGGTCCTGGGAGGGGACAGCCCGAGGTCCTCCTGACACGGCACCTTTACATTCCCGCCCAGGGTGGTCCCCAAAAGCACCCACTACACAAGTAAGGGAACCGGCAGGTGAGTGCACGTAGCGAGGGGCCCGGCCCGAGGATCCAATGGGTGAGGTCACACGCCTTGCATGTGGCAGACCCTGGGTCCCCTGGCACCATGGGGCCCGTCCCTGGTAGTCCCTGGCACCCAGGCGCGGGTAGTGCTGTGTCCTCGGGTGCTCAGGCTGACCTGCAGCCTGGGGTCCGAGACTCACGGGAGGGGTCTCCGGAGCTCCCCACCATTCCAGGCTGGCAAGGGCTGTGAGAATATGCCGGCAGGGGGCCGGAGAGATGGTCCAGTAGGTATGGCGCTTGACCTGCATGCGACTGACCTGGGTTCGATCCCCAGCATCCCGCAGAATACCCCAAGCCCCCCCCCAGGAGTGACCCTTGAGTGCAGAGCCAGGAGTGAGCCCTGAGCACTGCCGGGTGTGACTCCGAAACCGAACCAAAAAACCACACCACACCAAACCAAACTGAAGAACATGCTGCTGAAAACTGCAGGTGAGCACAGTTGCTGATTTGTTCTCTTCTGAGCAGAAATCTTACGTTCCCATCCCTCAGGCGGAGCCGGCCTGCCCAGTCAAACAACTCAACTCTCAGGCAAAACAGAGAGGGACCCAGGACGGACTCCCTCTGAAGGACATCTGTTCTCCAGATCAGGGTGTCGGTCACGTGTCTGCTCCTGGTCCTAGGTGGTCAGTTCCCAGACCGTGTTCTCCCACATGTCAGTCTCACAGCAACTCACAGAGCTACGCAGGGAGAGACCGAACTGGGAGGGAAACTGAGGCGCAGCAAACCAGTGGCCTTCAGTCACCGAACCTGAACCGTTCCAGTTGGCAGGGGCAAACAGCATAAAGGACACGGCTGTGAGGGGTCTGTCGAGGCGGCTTTGGGGTGCCCTGGGCTGTACCCCCTTCACTGTAGTACGTCCGCAGGTCTGAGCGTTTGGAGGTGACTCTGGTGTGAAAATCGCTTCGTGAATGGCTCTTTGGAACAAGAGATGGCGTTCTTCCAGAGTCAAGGAAAGGTGGGATCCTCCCCCACCGAGCCTACGTCATCTGTTTTTTTAAATGACTATAAAGACACTAATTACTATGTTACTGGCCCTACATTTTGATTTATGCTGTTATTTTGGCTACACATTGTAGGATGACATTGCTTTGTTCTTTCTCCCTTGCCACGAGGAGCTTAGGTTTATCAGGTTACACCCATCACAGTGCTCGGGAGTCACTCCCATTCCTTCATTTATCTGTAACCACTTCTCTATGCTCTCCTCCCCAACCAGTTAATCAGCTTTTCCCCCTAATCAGACTCTGTTAATTATTTGTAAGGTCAGATCCTTCCAGGACACTGAAACTGTATTGTAAGTTCATATTGCCTTTCTCCTCTCCTTATGTCTTTTGGATAGTTTACTTTAAAGTAGTGTCCCTTTTTGTATAGATACAGGAAGACCATTCGAGCACAGTGGTAGGGCATTTGCCTTGCACGCAGCCAACATGGCCGACCCAAGTTCGATTCCTCCGCCCCTCTCGGAGAGCCCGGCAAGCTACCGAGAGTATCTCGCCCACACGGCAGAGCCTGGCAAGCTACCCATGATGTATTCGATATGTCAAACACAGTAACAACAAAGTCAACAACGGAGATGTTACTGGGCCCGCTTGAGCAAATCGATGAACAACGGGAGGACAGTGACAGTGACAGTGACAGTGACAGGAAGACCGTTAATATTATGCTTTGTAACTTAGGATTTAATTGGCTCTGAATATTATTCATTCCCAGGTATCTTCTTTCTCGACTTAAGCCTCAGTTGCCCTTAGTTCCAAACACCCCAAAAGCAGGGTCCCGATGAGGGACTGAATGGACCCAGGGCAAGCGATGAGCTACCCTGGAATCGAAATGGGCCAGGCCAAGGTGCCACAATTCTTAACTATAAGTTAAGAGCTTGATCATAGACAAATGCTGTCATGATCCAAAAGTAACGACCAGACTAGGAAACTCCTAGGGATAGGAAAGACTAATCTGGCCTGAGCACTATAGTCTGGGATCGAGATGGCCCTAGGAGAGCAATTCTATAAGTTCAAGGTACTTCTTACTGTATCCATACAAAATGATTTATATTATGAATGCTTATATGTGTGTTGGACAAGGAGAGGAGAAACACACCCATGGGATTCCGCTCTAGGGTGGGTCGTCCTGCTGAGAGAGGATCTGTCCTAGAAGCGGCTTTCCCCGAGGGAAAGAACTCTACCCCTATTGATTGTGACCACACCTATGTGTAATTGTTACCCCAACCCCTCATGCTTTGGGATTTAACTGTACTGTAAGAGTGGGCTGGGGGATCAGGATCCAGACTCCAGGGCAAGAGGAGAAAGGGAATCAAGAGGAGAAAGGGGATCAGATCAGTATCCAGATTCCAGAATCAGAAGGAGGATGAAGGGGGATCGAGAAGGAGAATGAAGTAGCATGGGGGAGGAAGAGGCAGAAGAGAGAGACAGGAGTGGATGGAGAGAGGATTGGGAATAAACTGCAACTGACATCAACCAGCCTAGTCCTCGTTCCTTCCTTGGCCTGTCCATCGCCATCGACCTCCCTGGGTGGGGAAACCGGCGTGAGACTACCGAACGCGGGCGGCGGGTGAGATAGAGACAGACCGCTGCTGCTGCTGCCGCCGTGTCTTTTTTGAGTTTACACAACACATGGCAGTGCTCAGGGCTTCTTCTGACCCTGTGCTCAGGGATCACGGCTGGTGGTGCTTGGGGGACCATATGCCAGGAATTGAACCCAGGTTGGCTGCATGCAAGGCAAGTGCCTTCCCCCTGGGCCCTGAACTTACCTAAAAGAAGCACTGCAGGTTCTTCTGTCCCACAGGCTCTGTGGGAGACACCCGGGACCCCGTGGCAGGCAAAGCAGATGCAACCGGGGGAACTTGGAGCCAAGTTCCACCCAGGCCAGACCAGCCGCACGGCCACTGTCTGATACTTACTGTCCGTCACCTACCACTGATCTATTAACTGCCATTAACCACCTACTATCTATCTCACCCATATGTTATATACCCATCACCTACCATCTATCACCTAGTAACTAATCTATTACCTATCATCTACCCACCTATTACCTAATATCTATCATCTACCTCCCCATTCATTCCTATCAGTCTAATCTATTATTTATCAAACTGGTTATCTATCTTCCTCTATCATCTATCTATAAACACATCATCTCTCTATTCATCTCTCATCTAATATCTAACCACCCACCCATCCACCCGGGCTCATCTATTACCACCTATCACCTGTGATCAACCTATTAACACCTGCCACCTGTCCATCAGTCATTAATCTGATATATCTAATCTCTTACCGGCTCCATCTTTTTGCTGGCTCTAGCTTAGCACCTATAGAAAAAAATATATTAGGTCAGCTTATTCTCTGGCCTTTTGCAAAAGGTCTGATGTACAAATACTACTTGAATTTTCCACGCTATCCACAAAATCATAGTCCGAATCTCTTTCCATATTTGATTTGAATCCCAAATGCCAGCAAGACAACACCTTTTAGAAGTCAGCAGAGGGGCAAGGTTGCTCTAGCAGCAGGACTGTCACCCCTGATTTGAGTGACCAGGACGATCCAATAGACTTTTGTCTTTGGATCAGCCCCCTGGAAGGTTGATTAGTTCTTCCTCCGTGTCTAAGATGGATTGAAAATACAAAAGCCAAAAGCCAACTCTACAATAAAGGATAAGTTAAAAAGACTTTTATTTTTTTTTCATTTTGGGCTACCCTTTAGGGTGCTCATGGCTTACTGTTGGAATCACGGTTGGAGGGGTTTGGGAACCATCTGTAGGGCCAGGGATGGAACTCGAGTCAGCCGCATACAAGGCCAGCGCCCTTCCTACCACACCACCGCTCTGGCCCCAGAATATTTACTCTCAGGAAGATAAAATCTTGGGCCCACTGTACAAGGAACAGTGTCTTGTACCTGATGACATTACATGGTTAAGTATTTAGACGTTAAAGATCAGGTAGAATGCAGAGTCTCACAGTAAAGTCCCCAGGCTGAGAGACCCAGGCCAGAGCCCTTAGTGCTAGTATCTCTCTCTGTTCAGTTCCCACCAGGCTCTGCAATTTTAACACTTGCACTGACGAAATAACAAGAGAAGGCTTCTATGGCTTGGGGGCCGCTCCTCCCTTCCCTTCCCCCTCCTCCCTTCCCTTCCTCCCCTTC